AGCGGGGCCGCGGGCGTTTCTCACCCGGCCGGCCAGGCGGCGGAGGGGCCGGAGCCTGGGCTTTTGATTGTATTTCAGTCGCGCTGCCAATTGAAAGCAATCAAACTCGCGTCTGACTTCTGCAAAGAGCGTGTGGGTGAATCTCTGAATTAATCTAAGCCAGTCTTCTTTAGGGGTACTGTCACCTCTGTCATCCTACTGATGTTCAGGGAATAACAATGTATATTTGATAAGGACGATTTCTTTCCGGTAAAATTAGAGACCTCAATTTATTCTATAATGAGGGCTGGACTCCATTTTTCAAGTAGTTTGCCAATTGAATTGCCAATGAAATTCTTCTAAGGAAATGCTTACTATTTTTATCAGCGTAGGGCAGAAATTCTGAGTAAGAAGCAAGCCAAGAATTCAGAAAATGAGAGCTGAGGTGAAAGGGCAAAGTTGCTGGTGTGGGTTTTGGATTTTTTTTATTTTTTTTTTTTGTTTTTGAGACAAGTTCTGCCACTCTGCTTTAATTTGTTCCTGTAAGTATGGAAAGCTAGGAGGAGGGATGCAAGGTAGAAATAAGTGGAAAGACTCAGGTGGTTAGTTTGGCCTAAATAGCAGGAAAGGAGATTAGTAAGCTTCCAGAGGTACAAACCTTGATAGCGCTATGTAAGGCCTTCACCTTGGGATAGGTCAAAGGAACAGTGTGCTATAAAATTTCTACATTGGGATATCCTACAGTTACATCAAAACTTCAGCTAATATTAGTAAATCTGTGTACAACTCGAAAACTTTATTGGGCAGTGCTTGTATACTTTGTGTCAGTGCTCCAGAATTACACGGAAAAAACTGAGTAGCCTTCATTGCCTCAGCAGAGTGAAATGCAAACCAAACAAAAGGACAGATATATTTTATTTTTATCAGTATTGCGGTATTTGTACTAGACGAAAGTTTGTTTTAATGGGTTAGGGGGAAAAAGTTAACTGCATCTTCAATTCTGAAAAGTTTCTCAAAAGCAAAGGTCATGTGTGTGGCTGATAGTGGGGAAACTGAGCTTGGCTTTGTCTCTGTTAATTAAATGATCTGCCATTAATCACGGCAGGACAAGAATATGAGGAACTTGGAGCTGGAAGTGGCCTCCCTCTGGCACGGTGTCATACCCATGTGGCTCTGCTGCTTTGATATTGGAAAAGCTGGCATAGCCTATGCCTGTGGCTCCCGATTGCTGTACTGTGCTCTTTTTGGCAATACAGTGGGTGCCCTTATTTGCCTTTTCTTTGCTGTGGTGTGGGGTTTTTTTTGTTGTTGTTGTTATTGTGGTTTTTTTTTTTTTTTAACATTAGTGGTGTTCTCTGCAGCAGCCTAAAGAGTGCGATGGATTTCTGAGCGCTTGGTTGTTGAGCATTTGAAGTTGTGTGCTTTGAGCTCCTATGGGGTTTTTATTGTAATGAGTGTGGGAAGACTGAAGACCCAGGTAACTCTTCATCAAGTAAAGGTGATAAAAAGGAAAGCTAGGGCTGCAGGAACTATTCAGTCATGCTCAGTGTCTGTAACTTCTGTTAACTTTGGACACAGGATTATTGGCGCTTCTGGAGGAAGTGGCCAAGGAAGGTTCATGTTAACAGAAGGCAGTGCTAAGTAACTGCTGTATTTGGGATGTGTTGCCAGCTGGGCAGTACAGGTGAATAAACAAAGTAACAGAGAATGGAAGTGCCAAGGGAAATAATTTCAAGTACAGTTATTCTGCAAAATTAATTGGCAAAAGATAACTGTAGAATCCAGTGTTTAGGAGGGTATTACAGAAAAAGGGGAATGGAAAGTATGCTGTGAGGAAGGGTAAAAATAGGCTGGGGAGAGACCTACTTGGTTTTGAGAAGAGCAATCTTGTATCAGCTAGACTAGTCTGGCTTTGCAGTTCTTACCTCTTTTCTGAGATAATTGGTTTATTTTAGCATCTTGCAAAGCATATGCCATTGTTAATTATGATTTGTGGGCACTTTGTCAAACTCAATTGACTTTTAAGTTAGAGAGGCCTTTTTTTACTATAAAAGGCCTTATGCACCTGATTACACTATTTTCATACAACGTTCACAAGAATGAATATCGTGAGTACTGGTAGCAGAAATAGGCCTTAATGGAAGTAAAGTATTATATGCACCCCTATTTTCTGTCCAAGTGTACCAGCTCAGTTCATGTTAATGTTGATACCAGGGAAAAAAGGGACAGAAGTTTAGTAATGACTATGTTAAAAGTTCCATTTGATTGCAGGATGTAGTCAAACTAATTCAGCTTGGTAAGAGTCATCGGAGGTTATTCATTGCAGTGCCCCTTAAGATCATACATGGAAGGCAAACTACTTGAACTTTTCTTGATTGTGATAGTGGTGGCCCAAACACATATTGGAGATGTTGATTTGAACCCAGGTGCCTTTGTGCAGTATTACTGACTTTCTTCTGATTGTCAAAGGTATTCAATGTTTTTACCCTCAGTACATTTAGAAGGTCCGTCTTAAATGCACAAGACATAAAATTTTATTAAATGTTAGTATGTATATTTATATAACAGATGTACTTCTGGAAGCATTAAATCATTCTCTTATTTCACAGCAAGAAGAATCAATAATGTCGGCACTAAACTGGAAGCCCTTTATCTATGGAGGTTTAGCGTCAATCACTGCAGAATGTGGTAAGCTTCTCCTTTAACTGTTTACGTGATTTCCTTTACTCAGTCCCTTTTAAAACAAGCTTGGTTCCATGCTATCAGTGACACAGTAGTATATGGTGGTCTACAGCTTAGGAGTTTTTTGCTTTAACGCTGACTGAAGAGTTGATCAGAACCTTATTACAATGTCAGAACGCTTCTGTCTGTAAACTCGCTATTCCCTGTGAGTCTTGCTTTTATACAAACTTTGCCTTTGCATTCTATTATTGGTGTTTGTTGATCTGTTCCTAGACAGTGGTCATAAGTATACACAGCTTTTGTTTTGCTGCAGCAGGTAAGTTAAGCTCTTGAGCTTGAAACCTCGCTTCTTTGATAATGCCAAAAGCTTGATGAGGAAGACAAGCAATTCATAAAAGCCTTGCTTGTTTGGTAAACCTCGTTAGAATGGAGGTAGTTAATCCTGACTCGTATTAGTGTTTAGGTGAGTATTGAATATTGAGGTGATCCCTTTCCTAAAGATAAGCTCAGGAGGAATATGCTTTCTAAACCCTTCCATAAAGGGTGAGTGGAGAGTATGAACTTGACATAGCAGTCGGCTACAGGAAAGCAAGAACAGAAATGGGTACTGCTGATACTGCTTTTTTAGATTCTAGGATAGAATTTGTTGAGCTTGTCCTATGAAATTTATTTCTTTGCCTTCAGTGAAATGCTCTTCGAAGATGTTGGTAGAATACATGTGTAATCTATGTACTGGATTGTGATTGCAGAGTCTTGTTCAGTGTGGCTGTTTACAACCAGGCAATACCATGTTGTCTGAAAACATGTGAATGCAAAACGTAAACACAGGAAGTAGGTAGGCCTCTGACAAGCTTTTAGAAGAAACAAGGTGATATAAAATGAAGCACGTGTTTAAAAGAAAGTCTTGGTAACTTGGTACTTTTTTTCCTCAGGAGTATTTTTATATATTTCGCTATATAGTAAAGGCTGTTTTTTCTTAGTATCATGTTCTTTGTTGTCTTTGGTTAGGTAAGTACTAGATTAACTTTCTCTCTGATTTTTGTTTAAGGTACTTTCCCCATTGACCTGACCAAAACACGGCTACAGGTTCAAGGTCAAGTTAATGATGCCAAATATAAAGAGATCCGTTACCGTGGAATGGTGCATGCACTAGTCAGAATATGCAGAGAAGAAGGATTGAAAGCCTTGTACTCTGGGTAAAATTAACTGACTTGCAGTAATGGTTTATGAACAGTCTATTGATAAGTATAAGCCCATAGTGTGTGAATTCTTGGGCTTCAGATTTATAAGGTATTTGGTTAGCCTCAACTAATCTGGAAGTTGAAAGGCCAAGCTTAGATTGCTTCAGTCTTTGCACTCTGCAATAGCATTTCATGTTTAAAAAAACCCAAACAAATCTGCCTGAAAAAAAAAAATAGCTAAGCATAAAGTTATTCTATATGATGCTGCTATGGTTGTTCAGTCTCTCAGAAGAAAAACTGAATTAATCTTTGTTTATGAATGGGCGTGCTTTTCATTAAAGCATGCATGGTGGTGAGGGATAGATGTAATCTGCAGATTACATTTCGGACAAGCTTGCCAACTGTTTTATAGATTACAAATTGAGGCATGCTTGAATAGTAATCCTTCCACAGTTCATTCATGTTCTTGCAGGCTTTTTTAAGAAAACCCAGAACAATAAAATCCCAAACAAACAAAAAGCCAACAAAAGCTTTTTTTTTGCCTGTAGTGAGTTTAAGTTGTTGATTTTAAATGAGCACAGCTTTCTCTGGTAGATATCTTGTATTCAGTCTCTCCTGCTCTAAAAAGTATTTGCTAATCAGTCTTCTGTGGCTTTGAGCATAAATGTTATCACTGCCTATTTTTACAGGATTGCACCTGCAATGCTACGCCAAGCTTCGTATGGAACTATAAAAATAGGCACTTACCAGAGCTTAAAAAGAATGTTTGTTGAGCGTCCAGAAGGTGAGTGGGTTTTTTCAATTTAATTTAGGACTGGTTTGCTTGAGGCAGGTTGTTTCCGTTTGATACCTTACTGTAGGGGGCTGAACAAATCTACTGAGAAGACATTCCTTGTACCAATTACAACAAAGTGAGTCAGCAAGGAAAACTTGTCAGAGCAGTTTTTAAGGCTTCCATAATTGACACTCTCTCTGGTTAGAGGGGGGGTGGCATCATCCCTCCCTGAGGCATCTTAAGCTTTGTAAATCTGCAGCTAAACTCTTTTTCTCTGTTTATGGAATAGATGAAACCCTGATGATAAATGTTCTGTGTGGCATTCTTTCGGGAGTGATTTCATCATCTATTGCCAACCCTACAGATGTCTTAAAGGTAATTATGTAATTATGTAGAGTTTGTCCTTAGTTTTTGTCCTCTCCTTGAGGAAGTGCAGAATCTCCTGATGAATATAGGATTTGTCGTTTTGTAACCCTATTTATTCTCATCTCTTAACTTCAAAAAAAAAAAAAAGTTAAAGATTAGTAACATCCTGAATTCTTGGAACCTCCTTCTGGTCCATACTAATTATTTGGAAGTATGCCCTGGGAAACTGGTGGGTGGGGACATTATTAGATCCTTCTAACTTTTTTCTTGGGGTGGGGAGAGAATAATTTAAGATGACTCTTTTTGTAACTTTCATGCTGTGGTGTTTGTGTGGAAGCCATACTGCATATTTCATCTATACTTCTTGGTAACTCTTACAGTAGGATGGTTCTTGAGCTCAAAACTGGTGAAAAATCAATTTGAGAGGGAGGAGTTCAGCAAGTGCTACTTGTATTGTGTGATTCTTTAATCCTGTAAAGAGGCTCTGCAATCCAGTGTCCCATGGGAATAGTGTTCTAGCATCAGTGATGTAAACTTAATTTGTGAAACCATCACCTCTTTAAGAATCTGTTAGCTTAATGATAATCAGTGACCTCGTTTCCAGTTACTTAAAAGGGTTGATGGTATTTAACTTGCAAAACTGTAGCATGTTACTTACGTGGATACCTCTAATGAAAAGTTGAAGAAAACTCTGTTCTTCTAAAACTATTAAAAATTTAATCCTTCATAGTGCTAGTGTGGTTATTTAGAGGCATTTCAAACATAAGCTTCTATTTCAAGTATGGCTTCAGTTAGTTATTTCTCAAAGTTATGCCCACGTACCAACTTGCTTGCCACCAAATTTGTATTTGGTAGTTACCATGGCAGTTTCCCAAGGACATTCTTAGAAATCCTCAGGGTCGAAGACCAGGGTTCTCATTAGCTGAAACCTTAATCTTTTTAACCTTTCATTTTAACATGTTCCTGTGAGAACACTGTAAAGGACATCCTGCAGAACCCATCTGTCAGTCTAATCTAAACGGAGTAGCGTACAAGTACAGAAATAGATGTGACAATGCAGTTAAGAACTACACCACGTACTCGTTCAAAATTAGCAGCTGCATTTGGATAGTTAAGGCACTGCGAAAGATTGCATCATGGTTATGATAATGTCAGCTAATTAATTCATATTCAAAGAGAAATTGACTTTTATTACTTAGAAGATTGTAACTTAATAGTTTAATATAGTTTTACTAACATTTTATTGGTTGTGTGCTTGAAAAGTATTTATTTTCTAATTTTATCTTCAAATGAATCTCAGATCAGAATGCAAGCCCAAGGTAGTGTGATTCAAGGAGGAATGATGGGCAACTTCATACAGATCTACCAAAAGGAAGGCACTAGAGGATTATGGAAGGCAAGTTTTTAACTATATCCTACACTTTAAGTGCACTTCGTTGCTCAACTGAATTTCATGTTCTTCTACAATATTCTCAGTCAAAATATGGAGAAGTCAGTAGCTAATATGTATGTAGTTTGTCACTACTGCTTCACTGCTGGTCTCTCGGTGCATTTTGACAACGGGTTACTGCCAGCCTCATGTTCAAGGATTAGTCACTTCATAAAAAAAGGGGAGACAAATGGAGGCTTAAATTAGGGTGACTGGCTCTAGTAGTAGTTCAACAACCCCTTTGCAAGGCACCTCTTAATCTGTATGCTCTGCTCTTTTTAAAACATATACCACAGAACATTTGGAAGTACTAATGAACACCCCATCTAGCTCAGAAATTCTTGTACTTAGTCTTGTAGGTTGTCTTATGCCAATTACAGTCAGTGACTGTATAACAACTGAAGACCAAGAATGGAAAATTGTTCTGAAACAGCTGGAAGATAGAAACGTTTTTCTATTAATGTGCTTTTCCCTGCAAAGTTTCTTGATCTCCATTTTTCTGTTCATCCTTCTTACTTTGGCAGTTTTTCAGTTTGCAGCAAGGGGAGCCAGTATGACCTGGTGATTGAGGTCTTAGCTGACTGTCAATGTAAGAATTTGTCTGTTAAGCAGAGGTGGAGTAGCATAAAGGAACAGAAACTGCTGTTCAGTATGGAGAAGTGATTTATCTGTTAATATGAATCTGCATTTTTGGAGCACACACATCTAAGACTTGTACTCATTAACCTTATTTGAATTCACAATGTTATTAACGCGTTCATGCTGTGTTGCTTTGTATGATAAAAGCTAAGCTTTTCTGATGGTGCACAGCAGTTAATTTTAAACTTCAACTATATCCTTTCTTTTGCCAGGGAGTATCACTGACAGCACAGAGAGCTGCTATTGTTGTTGGAGTGGAATTGCCGGTGTACGACCTAACCAAGAAGCACATAATTATGTCTGGATTTATGGGAGATACAGTATATACTCACTTCCTGTAAGTTCATGTAACTAACTGCTTGCATAGCTCATCATCGGTTAGTTCTCGTTGTGGGGGATGAATATTTTGATTTTTCTGTCATATCAGTCTAGATGTAAATATACTTATGATGTGTTTGTGCTTTTTAAAGCAATAGCATCTCAAATGGTAGCACATAGCATGGAAGCTAATTCCATTTAGGATTTGGATTTAGTTTTCTTTTGAATATGGAATTTTGGTTTGTGGATCATCTGAATCATGCAGCTTTGCATTGCGAGATTAGAGGAAAGTTCCAATTAAATATTTGCCATTCTCAGAGGCACAAACATCTGTTCAGGTGTACAGAGACCGTATATAAGGGCTGCATATCAAATCTTGAAAATGATGCTATAGTAAATGAAAAGTGATCTTTCACATCTATTAGCTGATGTAATTTTTGACTAAAAGCATTAAGCACTCATTATTACTGCATGTTTTCTGGGGAGGGGGAATTCTTGTGCATCTTGAAATGTGGTAAGTCGAATTCTGTTAAACCCTTCTTTTATTAGCTCAAGTTTTACTTGTGGGTTGGCTGGAGCCCTTGCATCCAACCCGATTGATGTTGTGAGAACACGCATGATGAATCAGAGAAGCCAAAAACATGGGGGACACTCAAACTACAAGGGTACTTTGGATTGCTTGTTACAAGTAAGTAGTTTGTGTATTAACGTAAGCAGAAACTGGTGCCATCAAGCAATGATCTTGGTGTAGAACTTGAAATTGTTTTAAGTTTCCCTAGGAATTAATCCAAGTGACTTAGTTATGCTTTTTGCCCTGCTGCTCAAGAGGACTGTACTGCCAACAATGCACTGGCTGTGAAAAGTATTTACCATTTTGACAGAAAGGCAGGAAGGAAGTTAGTACGTACTGCAGGCACTTACTTCCTTTTGGTGCTTGGGTGAGGAGACAAAGTCTGTCGGCAGCACTATCTTAACTTGATATGATGTTAGAATATTGATAGGAAATGATAATTTCGTAGGTCAGTTCTTGAAGAACAACATCTTCTGGGGCAGATGGCTTTCTCTGTGGCTTACTGCATAATGGAAAGCCTATTACAGCCAAAGGCAATGTTGGTCTCTGATTTTGATTATTTTGTCTTGGTTTCTTAAATCCCTAAATGGGGTATGATGTGGGAGCATGATGGCCTTTTACATGGAGAAGAGTGGATAGGAGGCTATTGGTGTCCAAACTGTTGACTGAACAGTCCAGTTTGTGTAAGTGTCCAAGTCACATTGCTTTATGGACTTCACAAAATTGCACTGGACAAACTGGAAAATTTCAAGGGGGTGCCAAATGTGAGCTGCAGGTTTACGCGCAGCGCTCTGCAAGGTTTTTAGGGGAAAGAAAGAAAAAAAAAGTCCAGGAATGCAATTTGGACAAATCTGCTTTGGGTACTGAAATGACATAGACTGCATCTTTACCTGCCAGGTAGTGCTGCAAGCATTACTAGTCTTGGCTTTATCTAGTGAAATGTTTCCCTTGTCCCATTGTACAGTATGTTTAAATCAAGGTTACAGCACTACGCCATCCCCTTGTCCAGTATAGAATCTTGTTCGCTGAGACACTGTCTAGATTTCTTGCTAATAACGAATTACATAAGTGTGTTCTTGCTGTGTTTTTTTTTTTTTTCCAGACATGGAAGAATGAAGGATTTTTTGCTCTATATAAAGGGTTTTGGCCAAACTGGTTAAGACTTGGTCCTTGGAATATCATTGTATCCTTTTCAAAGGTGTGCGAAACTATTAAGCTTAGCTGTGCAACAGCAAGTACTGACAGTTTCACAGAATGCTCAGTGTGGAAACTGTCATGTCAGCTCAAATACTCTCTTTTTATGAGTGGAAAATTGTGTAGTTGATCATTTCCTTAGTCAACTGCTGCTGGTCAGATTGAATTTGTGATTCACACAGAGTGAATATTAGAACGTGATCTGGTGAAACATTTTTCTGTTCTTCCGATTTCATACCTGTCCATTTCCGTTGTTTGGAGCCTAGTTTTAAATAAAATTGACCAGATGAGTTTGGAGTGGGGGCTATTTCCAGAACTGGAGAAAGCAGTTAGCCACGAAATCTTTTCGTTTTTCTTGGTCTCGCACAATTTTTGGTTTTGTTTCAAGAGCCAGCTGATCAGAGCCCTGGCAGATGGGTTGGGAGTAACGTTTTTTACCGTGAGCAGACCTACTTTCACCCATCAAAGCTAAGTGAGTAAAGACTCTGAGGGCTTTCGCAGTGTCCTCCTGCCTCCTCAGTCATGGGTGTAAGATCCTGAGGAATAGGGATGGGAAAGTAAGGCCGGCCATGCCAATTAAAGCAAGGTTCATTGTTCTGCCTAGTACTGCATAACAAAAATGGCCAACCAGCAACGTTGCACAGGAGGGAACAAAGAGTGGAACAAAGTTTCACACTGATGCAGCTGTGCTTTAGTAGGAAAGTGACCGTTTTGCGCTGCATGAACAGAAAAGTTTTCCTTAATCAGCCATTCCAGTTCTTTCTGACATACGAACAGCTGAAGAAATTAGACTTCTGACATGCCGAACTGTGTACGGAATTCTGTTGATGTACTGTTTGAGTTCAGAGCAACTTGTAAGTTGTCTTGAGTGTTTGCTCTTTATTGTCAAGAGATGCTGGCCAAAGTGAGAGGCTGCTACAAGACTGTTGCGAACGAGAACATCCTGGAAGTGAGTTCAAGGCAAACTGGCTCCCACAATGATGCCTTGATTGCGTGATTCAAGGGATGATGTGCACTATTTTCTAGACTGCTCCAAACATGGTGGAATACCTTCTGTCAACTGCTTAAGTGTTCTTGAATCTCAAGAGCTGTAATGTGACTCTATGCTGCCAAGACTCAGATGCACAGTCGTTTGTGAGAGGCAAGGAACAACCTTTCTGTGAAGGAAGATAGGTGGTACCAAGGAGCCAGGCCCTTCCTCTTTTTGGAAGTGAATACAATTTGACTGTAAATATTTATCGTTTCTAATTAACTGGAAGAGTCACAAGGCTTTTAGTTCAGCAAAATACCTGCTGCAGTACAAAATCTGCTTCTGGTTTTAGAGCTTTCCTGTGTTCTACATCCTTGGATGTCTGCATAATCTGCTGAGAATAATCCAGCTTCATTTGAAAGCATGGTTGCTGCAGTTGTCAGTTCTGCATAGCTTGAGGAAGGTTGGTTGTGGGGTTTTTCTTTGGTTGGTTTTTTTTTTTTCTTCCCCCAATGTACTGTTCTTGATTTTCAGCATAAGTGATTCTTCAGCATACTCATACGTAAATTGCAAGTAGGAATGAAGTTCAAACAACTCCATGCTCACCTGTCAATCTTGCAGAGAAACTCTCCATGCTGCTTCCATTGTTGGGAATAACTATTTGTAGCGGTTACTGGCTGTTACGTTATCACCTGAAAGATGCAAGTTTTACTCTGAGCAGTTCCGACTGTGTCATGTAGGTGCCTACGTGAAAAGAACCACCCCTCCCCCCAAGGTAAATCTATAAAAAAACCTGCTTTCCTTGTTTAAAAAGGCGCCCAAACCCAGAACTACCGAGCACTTTCATATAGCCAACGGGCCCAAGCTGCTGTTACCTGCAAGTAAACCAGTAACAGCTTCCTTAAAGTGTTACCTGTGGGCTTAAACGCGTGATCAAAACTTCAGGGCCATTAACTAAACAGTTACGTCAAGGTTCTTGCAAATTGTTGCTGCTGAATTCCAGGAAAGGAAAGGTGTGACGCGCACGCAGTTCTTCCGTGCTCTCGGAGGGTAGCAAAGCCGTCTGCGCAGCTTTGGACTGTCACGGCGTTCTGTTCATCTCTTGAGTGTTTTTGGTTAGTCATACATTCCATGTGAAGAAATTTCATTGCGATTTCAAAATTACTGTATAATGACTTAAAATGGCTAATTTTGAATTCACAAATGGATTTTTTTTTTTAAATGCACAAGGCACTTTTTCTCCTGAAGTACAAGGTTTTTCTATGTATATGGGTATGCTTATGTGCAGCATTGTTTTTTTTCCTTACAGCTGTTCCTATGCTTTCATAGAAATGTTTGTAAGTATTTTTGTACACTATGTAAAAACTAAGTGTATGTTTTACATTTTTAAGCTTATTAAAGTTCTGAAACAGTTATGTAATGACTCCAAACTGCTTTTGACTTCTATGTTTCAAGTGGGGGTGGGGTGGGTGGGTTTTCAAAGACTGATTGAAAATTAATCACTAATTGTCACGCGATTAACAAAGCAAAGCCGTTGCTGGCACTGAAGAGTGTGTTACTGGCTATTTAGCCAAGGCAGACTAAAGCTGCTGCAGTTAAAAGTTTATGTTCTTGTACCTCATGGGCTGAATGACGTGCGTTAACTGCACGTTTTCACCGTTCCTTGGCCTATCTTAAAACTGCAAGACCGTTTCCTGCTCTTACCATGAAAACTGCTGGAGTAATGGGTTACTCTGGGGGGGATGACAGATGGACTGAAATTAACTGCTAAGCCCCAAAGGCATTGGAACAGTGAAATGGGAGTTTGGGATCTCGGCTGAAGGTGACTGCTGGCTGCAGCGAATACCTCAAGATGTTTTCGAGCCCTTTAATTCAGGGCTGCCTTAGTTAGGGCTTAGTTTAATGTGTAACAGTAAAAGATGTAAGTTGACCAAGACGTGGCAAACCGAAGACCACGCAAAGCGAAGCGTGAGCTCTGGGGCAGGCCCTGGGGATAAAGCAGCTCTGGTTAATGGGTGGTGCTGCAGAAAGATGAAAACCGGTTCAGGAATGAGGAGCCTGCAGTGCAGGCTGCCGAAAGGGAGGGCGGCCTCCCGGGGGCAGGCGCTGGTTTTGACGCCGGAGTGACGGCAGCTCTGACAGCATCGGCCCCCCCTGTACTTCACCCATTTCAGGAGGGCTCCAGTTGTCATGTTAGATTAAACCAGATCACGGAGGCTGCCGCGAAAGCCAGTCTTGGTTATTAGCGCGCGTGGTTTGATGCGTTTGAGTACCCCTGTACTCGGTGCTGGTGAGGCTGCACCTTGAATGCTGTGTTCAGTTTTGGGCCCCTCACTACAAGAAAGACGTTGCGTTGCTGGAGCATGTCCAGAGGAGAGCAACCAAGCTGGTGAGGGGTCTGGAGCACAAGTCTTACGAGGAGCGGCTGAGGGAACTGGGGTTGTTCAGCCTGGAGAAGAGGAGGCTGAGGGGAGACCTTATCGC